CTGTGTCCCAGAATTCCACTATTACTCATCCTAAAACTGGAAAACCTATGGCATATTAATGAATGCGGCAAATTAGCAAACAAAAAAGAAGTACTACTGTATTTAAAAAGCATGGATTATGTATCACTACATGAACTTTATTAATTTATTTAGCAATTGAAATTTAAATAGTAATGATAATATGTTGTTACATGCTAGTAAGTACTGTGATATACCTTTTTAAAGTAGAGTGTCTTATTACTACAAGACTCTATTACATCTCCATAATATTACATCTTTACTAAAAGTAAAGATGGATATTTTTCTGTGGGTAGGTTCTCAACGTTGGATAAGTGAAGATTGTAAAAATGTAAAAGTATTTTGTGTTCCTTATCATGTACATTTTCAGATTGCTATGATAAATAAATGGGTACCACTGATCTTTAAGACTATACCTGAAAAATTAATAATAGAATAAAGATTATCTAATAGGTTCAGGCACTGACAGTATCACACTGGGCAAGTCGCATGGGCCCAGACTCTGATCTCTGTTTATTGGTCTCACATAAGTGCACCAAAATTTTAAATTTAAGTTAATGTGTGACATTTAGTTTTCTTCTGCTTGCAAAACTTAACTTTATATTACAAAAGTATGCAATCATTTAGACATGAGTTATATTCAGTAGACACATGCAAGTCCATTAACAAAGAGCTTAAATTGGATTACTCTTGCAAACCACATCCTCTTTCATTTTACTTAATGTTCCTATAAATTTAACACAAATAGTAGCTTGTATTTAAAACCCATAAATTAAATCATAAACATTAGAAGTCTGAATGCTATACACCTCTCCAAGTGAGCCTAACATTAAGTTTTAAAAATAAATTCCATCATTAAAACAGAAGCGTATGTTGAATATTCTTTACTTTATATTACCATATGCATTTTAGTAGCATTAAAGTACCATCTGCTCTCATGTTTTGTTTTAAATTTTATCCTAAAGGTCAGAGAAACATATGCATAATTTCCTTCTAGAAGCTAGAATAAATGGGCTTTTGAAGAACCTAGCATGTTTCTTTCAACTATGCTTCTCTTCTAGCACTGTGGCTGACCAAGAATAGAAGAACTATTTAAACATTACATTTTACTCTTGATTTTGGTGTCCCTACGTCTCCTGATTAGAATACATATACATGTAAAATGTAGAGATTAAAATATCTTTCCAAAATGTATTTTTAGTTAAAACCAAAATAGACAAAATCCTTCTGAATAAATAACTTGAAAGGATGGGAGAGAGTACTAGAAATGTATTTGAATAAAGTAAGAATCCATATGCACCGCAAAAAAAAAAGTTACAGGAAAAAAATTGATTATGCATCATGGTTTTGATTATGCAAATATTTACACACATATCTAATTAATTTAGCCATGCAAGAAGTCCCATTGAAATGAACAGGAATGCTCAAGGGAGCAAAGCTATGCAATGCATTTTTGCCAAGTTGAGGTCTGCAATTTTTACTAATTCAGTGAGATGCAGAATCTAGCAGTTTCCCAAGCTATCATATATATTTGATTTGCAACATAGAAGCAAATTCCATAAGTCAATCAATACCAAAATCCAAGAGAAAAAGCAAAGCATCTAGTTATACTTTTTCCAGTAACATAATAGGAAAAGGAGGCAAAAGGATAATGAGAAACTAGTTTTATGGTTTCGTTTATTATCACTAGCTAAAAATGTTATGGTTCAGAGAAGATGTCACTTAATAAAATAAGGGTAGTCAATGGTTGTTTTTGAAAACATCCATGCAAAACAGGTTATTAATTCAAGCGTAAATAAAACAAGAACACTTTGTAATAACAATAAAATAAAATTGATTAATGATTCAACTACAAACATTACAATGAAAACTGATTCAGCTACAACCATTACCATGAATTCTATACAAGTCTAATATATTAAAAGAAGCAGTTTGCAAGGTCAATTACAGCATATCCCTCTACATATGATCATAGAATTATAGGAAGGTAGAGCTGGAACGGACCTCAATTCTTAACCACTCTGTCAGAAAGTCCTTCCACATCTCTAACTTAATAGTTTTACTAATTTTGTAAGGGGCCTATGGTTTCTTTGGTTTTATTCCTTTTGATGTACTTCTAGAATACTTTTTATTGCCTTATGTATCTTGCCAGCTGCATCTCAAACTGTGTCTTGGACTTTCTAATTTTTTCTCTGTATGCCCGTGCAATACCTTAATAATCATTCCTAGTAATATGACCAAATTTCCACTTTTTGGTAGGATTTCTTTTTTGAGTTTCAGCTTGTGGAAGGGATTGCTGTCTAGCCAGAATTGCTGTGCACTACCTGTTCTTCCATTGCATCAGAAGAACTTGCCTTTCTGCCCTTAATACTGTCCCCTTAAAGTACAGCCAGCTCTCCTGGACTCCTATTCCCTCAGACTTACCTCCCAGGGGATCCCGCTTGCCAGTTCCCTGAATTTATTAAAGTCTGCTGTTCTGAAGCCCAGTGTCTATATTCTGTTGCTGTCATTTCCTTCATTCCCTTAGGATTCTGAACTCTATAATTTCTTGGTCATTGTCACCCATGTTACCTTCCACTATCACCTTGTGTGCAAGAAGCAAATTGAGAACAGCTTTCCCCTAGTTGGTGTCTCTACCATCTGTAACAAAAAATTATTCAAAGAATAACACTCCAAGAATTTGCTGGACTGTTGTGTTTCTCTTCCAGCAGATGCCCTGATAATTAAAGTCCCTCATGAGAACCAGGTCCTGCAATTTGGAAGCTTAACAACATACAGTACAAACATTTTAAAGAACAACTTAGAAAAGCATCTTCTGTTGTTTCAATATAATTACCATATCTTATATTTTCAACTACAATGCTGAAATATTTCACTTAGAAAGTTATCATATATGGATAAAAATGGTACAATTGATTCAGATAAATTATAAGTTAAGAACTGATATCAAAGAAAAGAAAGTATAATGGCTAATTCTGGGCTGCATTTAACCAGCATTAAATAAGGTATTGTACGTCACACAAGCACAGAGGGCCATATATGCTGACAACATAATGGGCCTATGTACTATATCCAGTGAACTGCCAAAGAGAAAAAAAAATCTAGATGTGTAAGGTGTTCCGTATTCCAGATCTCCAACACACAATATGCTAGACATCCTCAGCCTTGGAGGACCCCCCCACCACAACCCCCAAGCAGCTCAAACAGAACTGAGACCTAACTTAATCAGACATCTCAGCATTCCCCCACTATGGGCACATCCTAGCTATGCTAATCTATCTCACTTATAAACTAGCTCTTTCACATTATCCTTGAGTATAGGTAGTTCTTACTTATGCTGAGGATGACCTTTTGCTTAGTTCGTTTTGCTTTCTTACCCAAACAAGAAAGGATTAGGACTCAGAGTGACCTAGACAAATTGGAGAACTGAACCAAAGGAAATCTCATGAGCTTCAACAAGGACAAATGTAAAGTTAGGACAGAAGAATGCATCGGTACAGACTGGGGACCAACTAGCTAAGTCGCAGCTCTGTAGAAAAAGACTTGGGGGTTACAGTGGCAATAAGATGAATATGAGCCATCAGTGTGCCCTTGTTGTGAAGAAGGATAATGGCACATTGGGCTGCATTAGTAGGAGTGTTGCCAGCAGACTGGGGGAAGTGATCATTCCCCTCTCTTCAGCACTGCTGATGCCACATCTGGAGTACTGTGTCCTATATTGGGCCCCCCACTACAGAATGGATGTGGACAAATTGGAGTGAGAGCAGTGGAGGGCAACAAAAATGGTAAGTGGGCTGGGGCACATGACTTATGAGGAGAGGCTGAGGGAACTGAGCTTATTTAGTTTATAAAAGAGAAGACTGAGAGGGGATTTAATAGCAGACTTCGACTACTTGAAGGGAGGTTCAAAAGAGGATGAGCTAGACTGTTGTCAAATAGAATTTTGAGTTCTCTCTCTAAGTGTATCATATTACCAAGCAAGGATATAATAGGGCCTCTCTTTACAACTCTGGTGTGTTATATATGAAATGTTTCATTCACTTCTTTGTTAGAGTAACTGTATTTGAATCTTGGGGAGCACTGGATTTGCAGCTGAATAAAGGCTTTCTTCTGTGTCTCAGCAGAGCTGCTGACCACAAGGCAGGATGATATATTAAAAGTAACTTTGCAAATGCTTAGGCAAGCAGTTTTCTAACAAGGTTGTAGTGTTGTAAAGTATAGAGCTCATTGTGTAAGAAGAAAAAGACACAGCTCACCAACTATTGTCAGGAGACAAAGCAGAAGCAAGACCTTGGAGATGAAGGAGTCAGCAAGAAACCAGAAAGAACAGTCTACAAGATTTAACACACATTTATAGTTTCAAAGTTTCATAGTTTCTAGGGTT